CTGGGAGATGGAGAGGAAGAGATTGAGGGGAAAATTGGTACATTTGTTCAGGTTACTGTTTTGGAGATTTACAATGAGGAGATTTATGATCTTTTGTCAAGTAACAATGGGGGTGGATTTGGTTTTGGGTGGTCGAAGGGTGGTAGTGGATCTAAGGTACTACTTTCTTGTCTCCCTATATTTTCTTGAAATCTTGATGATTCAATATTCAAATGAGTATTTTGCTTCATTTCTTTTAAATAAAATAGTTTCCTTTCAACTTTTCATCGATAACTTTAGCAGGTGGCAGTATGAATTTGGGTTTGGTTGAAATTGGTGTTCTGCTTTATGCCAAGATTCCCTTTTCCAGTGTTCATACTCTCCTTTCAGAACAACACTGCAATTTGTAGTTTAATTTCCTGGAAAACGATGTTGCAGGTGGTAGTGAAGTTAAAATGACAGGGTGGATGAATTTACTCATTGGAATTCCCAGTTTACATTACTGAATGAATTTTGTTTTATTAGAGTTTTGTATGAGCCAAAATCCATAAGGTGGACAAGCCATTTCCGTTAGTTTGAAGGACTGTAGAATATAAAAAATTTTAAACTTGTGGAATTCCACTTTGGACTGGAAAACCCCATCTTAAGTTCCACTAAGTTTAATGCAATTTAAAATGCATGACTCAATTTTCTTTTTAATCATTTTAAAATTTCGATAGGACTTTTGCTGTTTAATCGCGTAAGTATAAATTTAAAAATAAATTCCACATGAATAGCTCTAATATAGTGTTATAGGACGGCACATTTTAACTAATGTGTAAAAGTTATTGATTGAATTTGCAATTGCAGGTGAGGCTTGAAGTAATGGGAAAGAAAGCAAAAAATGCAACCTTCATATCTGGAACTGAAGCTGGCAGAATTTCCAAAGAGATTCAGAAAGTGGAGAAGCGGAGAATAGTTAAGAGCACACTTTGTAATGAGAGAAGTTCTCGAAGCCACTGCATGGTATGATTCTTTTAGGCCAATACGTCCTCTTTACATATAATCCGTGGTTATCGCAATTTCCAGAGATAAAATAACCAGCTCCTTCTCTTTGCACAGATAATCCTTGATGTGCCAACAGTGGGGGGGAGACTGATGCTTGTGGATATGGCTGGTTCTGAAAATATTGAGCAAGCAGGTCAAAATGGATTTGAGGCAAAGATGCAGGTAAAATTTATCTCCATTACATATAATTTAGATTCGGTAGCAAGGGTTGTCTAGCTTTTTCTTTGTTTCTCTGAATTTCCAATTTTTCTATCCCTGCGATTTTGGAAGGTTTAAAATTGCTATGAAATTACAGACAGCAAAGATTAATCAAGGGAATATTGCATTGAAAAGAGTGGTGGAATCCATTGCAAATGGAGATTCTCATGTGCCCTTCAGAGATAGCAAGTTGACCATGTTGCTCCAGGTTAGAATTATTCATGTTGATATAATAATCATGATCTTTACATGGTTTAATGAATCATAAAAGAACGTGTTCTTTTGGGTAGGATTCGTTTGAGGATGACAAGTCAAAAATATTGATGATACTCTGTGCAAGCCCAGACCCCAAGGAAATACACAAAACAATCTGCACCCTTGAATATGGAGCAAAAGCCAAATGTATTGTCCGTGGCCCTCACACGCCCATTAAAGATAAGAATGGCATAGAAGATTCTTCATCGGCTGTTATTTTGGGATCTAGGGTAGCAGCAATGGATCAGTTTATTTATAAGTTGCAAATGGAGAACAAGCTCAGAGAAAAAGACTGTAATGAGGCACACAAGAAGCTCATGAAGAAAGAAGAAGAGGTTGCCGCACTGAGAGAACTTCTGGAAGAAAAAGGATCTGGTTCATGTGAAGAGGAAATCAACTTGAAGGTGAATGAACGAACAAAGATCCTGAAACTTGAATTGGAAAGGAAATTGGAGGAGTGTCAGAGAATGGCTGAAGAATTTGTTGAATTGGAGAGGAGAAGAATGGAAGAGAGGATATTGCAACAACAAGAGGAAGTTGAGATGTTGAGGAGACGGTTAGAGGAAATCGAGTTAGAATTCCGTCGCTCAAAGGATGGAAATGTTGATGATAGTACATCCAAGTCCTTGGATGGATGTGGCTTTGCTAAAAGGCTCTTGGGTATCTATGCTGATGAGGATCCAGGCATGGTAAAGTCAATGGACCTAGACATGGGTGATCAAGAGCCGTTTGTTCGTGATGTGAGACATGTAGATGCAGCTGTTTCTCATCAACATGATAACAATGGCATACAAGGTCTTGCGGATTTTCCTCATTTAAATCCTTTCAGTGAGGTTCAAGATGGTTTTGGACCAAGGTTTGGTGATAGAGTCTGTTTGAGCACTGTCTTTGAGGAAGAAGAAGCAGAAGAGGAGGATAACAAAGGGAGTGTTGAAGATGAAGCAGTAGAAAAAGTGATAATAGAGGATAAAAGGATTTATTCAAGTCCCGGTATCAATTCTAACACAAGCTTCTTTGCATCTTCCCCTCAGAATTTTGAATTGACAAGAAATGTGTCTACTGAAGTTTCAGGTAAAGAAAATTGTTTCTGGGATAGATCAGATGACATGGATCCAGCTTCATTTAGAAGACTAAGAATCCAGAACATATTTACTCTTTGTGGGAACAACAGGGAACTCTTACAACAGCTGAGCACCGCAACACCTGCCAAAAAGAGATCCGAAGCCACTGATCTTCAATCATCTCCAGTTGTCAATACCAGGGACCAAAATATTGTGAAGTCTATGAACAATGAATGTGGACAAACTCTATATGATGGAATGGAATTGGCATCAAAAGAGAATCATAACCCTTTCAGTGATAGCACAGACATGCAGCTAGAAGTATATGTGAAATGGGAAGCATCAAGAGAAAACCCGGGAAAGTTTATTACAACTCTGAAGGTTGTAAAAGATGCAACACTTGCTGACTTGAGGAAACTGATTGAAATTTATCTTGGTGCCGATAATCAAGCATTCACTTTTCTTGTGCTTGGGGTATGTTAGCATTATTAAGTTCATTCTCTTAATTATTGCATTAACCACCTGGTGTGTGTCTTATGGACCACCTTTTCATGGCAACCATCTCAATGCCCATATTCAGCATGACATTGTCATTTCTTTGGGGTATGTTAGCGTTATTAAGTTCATTCTCTTAATTATTGCATTAACCACCTGGTGTGTGTCTTATGGACCACCTTTTCATGGCAACCATCTCAATGCCCATATTCAGCATGACATTGTCATTTCTTTGAACACATGCGCCCAACGGATCGTCATCATTGTTCTCTTTGGAATTAAACATCTGCTTGAATCTTTTGAAATGTGACTAGACTAATTATGGATTCATTATGGACTCACTGTAGCTTTGTCTATGACCAGAACCAAAGAAAGCTGAACTCTTAAGGACTCATTCTGTGGTTTTTTGCAGGACCCTACTGGAGCTCCAGTCCCTAAAGAACAGGAAGCAAGAGTTCAGGCCCTTAAACTTCCTCTCTGCAACACTCACTCCCGTCTTGCTTGCTTGCGACCAGCAAAGGAGGGGGTCCAATGCCCAAGTCATGTTCCTCCGAGCAGTCCACTTCCACTAACTCCAGTGGAAAACAAACTACCACTCACCCTAAGTCATGTTCCTCTGAGCAGTCCACTTCCACTAACTCCAGTGGAAAACAAACTACCACTCACCCCAAGTCATTGCCTTCTTAAATCAAGGTGATATTTTGGCACTGAAGGTGTATCCCCTACTTCTACTTCTACTTTCATAATTGCTGTTAGGAGACAATGGTTATCAACTGTTTCTTCTACTTGCATAATTGCTGTTAGGAGACAATGGTTATCAACTGTTTCCAAGTGTTGAATGAAATATACTGCCAGTATATCAATATGTACTCTCATAGAATGTGATTTTTGTGGATATTGTGGGGCTAAGACCAATATTTGTGTTACTTATTGTGTAAAGTATATCTTCTTCCTTTTAGTTGTGAATCAATGTCTCTTCAAATTTCATTCCTATTTATATTTTTCTCTCCTTTGCAAGCTTTGAGACGATGGTTATCAACTGTTTCCAAGTGTTGAATGGAATCTCATAGAATGTGATTTTTGTGGATATTGTGGTGTGAAGACCAATATTTTGGTTACTAATTGTGTAAAGTATATCTTCTTCCCTTTAGTTGTGAATCAATATCTCTTCAAATGTCATTCCTATTTATATTTTTCTCTCCCTTTGCTTATGCTTTGAGTTACTGTCAGTTTTTTTAGCTGACAGTAGGCCAAAGAAAATTGGCAGTGGTTGAAACTTACAGTATATTTGGTTGGATTTAATAATTTTGTAATGTAAAACAGTACAACTGTTCATTGCATTATGTTTGGCATATCAATGTAATAATTATGTGATACAATCATGCATTAGATATCCCAAAAAATTAAAAAAAATACTCTAGATATCCGGAAAACCTAGAAATACTCTCACAAATCTTGAAAACCCAGAAGTACCTAAAAGACTACCAGTAGGAACCAAAAAGGATCAGAAACATCCCTGGATACTTAAAAGACTCGTAAAGTACCTCGATTACTTGCAAAGCCCCTACCCCTGAATACCTAAAAAATAATTCTGAAAATTAACACGTAACTTTTTTTCTCTACTCAAAACAACTTGGTAACTGAGTTTATCTGTTAAAGAAAATCTGAAGTCATCCATTCAGAGTGACAGGAATCCTCCACATTAATATATTAATAAAAAGAAAAAAATTAATAAAATTGACAATAATCTTTCATCTCTTATTATTTCTATCAAGTAATAATAGATCCGTACTTACAAACATCATATCATCCACGTATGTTAAAAGGGATTTGAGGATAAAAAGCTCTCTACCAGCAACTATATAAAAGAAAATCAATTCAAGCTTTAGAATAGAGTTAACTCTGCATATTGCACTTCTTTCCAAGACAATATAATACCAATTGCTTTTACACCATACCATTCTTCATAAATTTGACAAAAAACCTCTTCTTCTAGAAATTATGCATCATCAGTTAGTTCTTGTTGCTGCAGAAGATGTAGAGTAATTCATGCCACTGGATCCTGCATTTCTGCACTCTGGAAATTTCTTGTTCGGAATAATTCATAATTGCAATGCCAAAAGTAAGAGATCAATTCAAGTTGCAGCTAATTGCTGCCTATGTTTTATGAATTCTGCAATACCAAGCTTATCCTTTCAGTGGCATTTGAACTTGAATCCTTCAGTACTTATAGAAGACAAAAATTGTTATCACCATCAACGTAAACTAAATTTCAAATTTTAGATTCAACTATCAGAATGAATGTACTAACACCAAACAGAAGAAATAAATATAAAAAATACGACAAATATCACTTGTGTACTTGTTCAATAAAACATTAATAATATAATTCAAGATCAAAAATTTCTTTTGAAGTATAGAATATCTAATTCAGATGACATAACACTTTTATTGTAGAGTTGAAAACTTTAGTTTTAGTTCTTTTCTACATTCCATCTTAAAAAAGAAAAACTTCTTTTGAAGATGCGATATCAATATAGTATACACCACTGGAAGGTACCAACCAAATAAGATGTGATATGGTTAACCTATATGTTAACAGCATTTTTGTTTTTCTTTTTTCTCGCCAATCTTCTTAAAGCCAAATATAAGTGCACCATAGCTACATGGATATAATATACATGCGTAATCAATGCACAAGATATAATATATTGAACATGCCTTATGTTCAATATTGTCCAATTGGGGTAGTGCATTATCCATCTCTTTTCTTTTTCCAATGTCTACCAGCCAAGCCATACGGCTTATGCACCATCATCTAGCTAGCTTATAAATAAGTTAGCTTTTAGCTTACGGCTTCAGCACTATTAATACAGCCCCTTTATGGCTCAAGATAGTCATTTGTATTGCATCATAACTATAAACAAAGTTTGGAAATATTAATAGTGCATTACAGCAGAGTTTGAAGAAACCATGATTGTTAAAAAAAAAAATGTAAATGAAAACTGTGATGCAAAAGAACAGCCCAATTCAGTTAACTGTTTGTTTAGGTAGCTAAACACTGTCAAATGTCAAATAAAGCAAAGAAAGCATCTCAAGAACACACGGATAGATTGCCAATAAATATACTCTGAAAAACGCACATCAGAATGTCAACAGGCACGATGGACAGCCATATAAGAGTAAAATGGTTCCGAGAAGATTGATAGCTACAAAAACAAGAGAGTTAATTCTAGAAATCAAAGAGGGGAAAAACAATAAACAAAGAAGAATGAGCAGTAAAATGAGCAACAGAGGACTTGTTCAGCTTTTCTATCCATTTATTCACTGACAGAGCTCCATTATGAACTAATAAATTGGATAGCAAAGAAAGAAAATCAGAAAAAACTATGGTGTATGTGCAGGATGTTAAGAAACAGAAACAGAATCCTTGGTTATACTGTTAATATATCCCAGTTCAATTTCTATTATTAGCTTGGAAACTTGATCACCATATCTTGTTAGTTGTAAAGGTTGAGTAATCTTTAAGGAAGGGAGGAAGACAAGGGGTAGGTAGAATTTATATATGTGATGTCGTAATTGGTCAATTCTCTTTTTCTTTTTCAATTACCTTTCATTTGAAATGTAAGAATTCAGTCACCGATGTCTAAAGGCTATAATATATACAAAAGGTAGATCCTAGAGTGATAAATTAGATGGGCATATAATGATGATGTCGTAAATGCTTGCCATAAACCTCATGGTCAAAATATTTGGCGTGAACACAGGCTGTCATATATATATATATATATATATATATATATGTACAGTACGTTGAGAACAGCATTCATGGCCTTGCTTATAACATTAACTGTCATTAGATACGTTTAATTGCATGGAATAAAATTGAAAGGTCAGTAAAGACGGATGCAGTTGCATCTTTGATTTGGTACATTCAAAAATTTGCTTACAAGGCCACTAACAGTACAAAACCTTTTTATGTTGGGGGATATATTTTGATAGCTATATATATACATGTATATATATATATAAACTTTCCTTTTTGTTTCTCCCGGCATTTAATTAGGTTTAAACAAGTATGAAGAAAAAAGTAAGATAGGTGTGTGAATTTGGCAAAAGCTAGGGAGGGAAAATTAACTTACAAGAAATTAATCTTGGAAGATTAAACAAGTCGAAATGAACGTGTACAAAATAATGAAATGAATATTACTGATCTATTCCGTTGAAACTGCAATCATCGCTGTCTTTGGAATCTTTAGATCTTGAGGACTTGGTGGAGTCATCGCCGGTGGATCCCTTAGACTTCTTGTGACGAGAGTGCTTGGGGATGGCCGGCGGGTCATGGGAAGGTGAGTCGGTGCCGGCGCCGGAGGAGTGATGTTGCCGTCGAGCATGGCGACTGCTGGGGTCTCTGCTTGGTGAATCCATGGAGATATTTGAACCTCGACTGCGCCTGGATTGCTTTGGTGCGTCAGAGGAACTCCGTCTGGTTGGAGAATTTAGTGGGGAGCCATTTCCAGTACTTGATGATTTGCGCCTTGATTTATGCTTCTGCTTTTCGTTTTGAATTGGAGGAAGTGATGATGAATCATGAATTATTAATCCATTCTGATCACTCCCATTTATCCCTGTCAAATTTACAAACTTTCCTTCAAATTTATATACGTATATATGAGATATCATCGTTGTTTACAAAATCTAGTTAACCTAATTATGGAGTCAACCTTCCGATGACAACTTGAGTGGGGGATTATGCTTCATTTCCCCTGAACTTAAAGATTCAGTTGACAGCTCTGGACCCTTAAATTCACCCATCTGCATGCACGGACGAAGTTTGACCAGTATGCTTAACAGATATAAACACTAGCTACCTACTTTCCATATAAACGACACGTACATATAGAAGTGGCATATATGTATATGTGTGTGTGTGTGTGTGTATGTACCCAGCTTGGCGAATTAGCAGAAGGACCATCCCATCCAATGTGAGCGACATGCTTTACATCTGTTGGAAAACCAATTTGCATTTCTGGTTCTTTCTCTTCTTCTGCATGTATATGTATGAGCTTATTTGAAACTTACATAATACAAGGAATTCTAGAGAGAGATGAAATTATGTATTACCAAATATATGTGTGAAGTATCTTAAACCTTTCAAGAAGCCCTTCATGGTTATAACTGGTGTAGAAAGGTTGTGAAGCTGATCAAGCGGCACTCACAATGTACAATAACAACATAATGCCAAAACTGATCCATCAACAAATTAATTAATCAAAACAATCATCATTAAATATATGAATTAACTAAAAAATTTTCACGTATACATATCAAACCTTTGATTGTGAGCAACAAAGTAAATGGGTATATTTGAATCAATATGGGGAAGTATACAGAAATACATGGTTGGTATATATCATCATCTCTCTTCGAACAAATATATATATATATGAAATTAAAGGATTAATAAGGAAAACATGAGATGATATGGATTAATTGAAAAAAAAAAAAAAAAAAAGGGTAATTAAAAAGAAGGGTTTTACTCTCGCAAATCTTGATTGGTTTGAATAATCAAGAAATGGAGAGGGAGACGATAATAAGTGAATAGAAAAATCTCAAAAATTGAAAAGGGAGAAACAGTTTTTGTTGATTGTGTTTCGGTCAGGTAAGGTTGTTCGTCTCAGATATCGGTCAATGATCACCGGTAGCTGACCGATTTTTCAGGTGGATAAATCCCAACCGCCATAACCTCCTTATTTCGCTGCCTCTCCCGCCAACGGTCTTTTTGTGGAAGCGCGCCAAAAACGGTTAGTATCTTCATACATATACATCTACGTATATAATTATTCTATTAATATTAATATATATATATTTTTTATAAACATTACTCTTTATTTTTTAAACTACCTTTTTTGAAAAAATAAAAAATAAGACTCAAATTCAAATCGTTATATCATCTTATAAGACTATTTATTTATTTTTTATATATGATGCAAATTTTATTTTTCTTAATAATTAAGCATTTTATAAGTAAATTTAAAAATATTTTAAATTAAAAAGTGTTTTAACCGGAGAGTAAATTTAATAATTTAAAACTGCCGGTAGTGATGTTAAATAAGTAGATATCATAAGATAATAGAAGAATGTCATGATATGGGACAAGGGTTCATGCTTAGATTCACCTCACTCGAGTTTTTCATGCATTCAATTTCGTACTAATTATGTCCTTAACAATTGACTTGAGTTTGTCTGTCTCTGATGTCTTCGAACTTGTTCTTTGAATTAGATGTATAATTATAGTATGTCCTAAAATTTTAAAATTATATTAAAAAAAAATTTTAATATTATTATTCGAATTTAATTGAATAAGTAAAATTTAAAATTATGCTTGTTTTAAAAGGGTTTAGGTCTTATCGAGCTGTATTTTAAGATAAATCATGTCTGCTTTAGGATTATATTATCGGTTACATGATATTCAATATTATAGTTGTTGAAATTTAGTTTAATTTAAAAAACACAAACGGATGAAGCTGTGAAGAAAAAAGGACTGACATGGGGAGGTGAAAAAAGTTAAAAAAAAAAAAGGTTTATATAAATGTTAACATAGATGTCATTATGTTAGTAAATTGAAAACGAGTCTACATGTGACACGTCAACGAAAATTAATAGAGGAAGAAATTTTTTTTCTTTTTTTAAAAGAATTGAGAATTTAAAAAAAAAATAATAATAATTCTAAGGCTTGCTCGAAAGCAAATTTTAAAAGGTATATAAAAATTTATGTATCTTTTGAATGTATATTTATTTCATGAATACAAATACCCACAAACATATATACATATATATGTATGAAACTAAATTAGAACATGTTTTATGCACCAAACAAAAATGAAATTTCCATAATAAAATTCGTTCAATGTAATAATTTGTAAATTAGGGTCAAGGAAGACCCAGAAGGCAGTCAAAAATACAACCTGAAAATACCTTGGCTAATAATATTAGGAGGAAATAGCTCTATAAATTGAATGTACTTGTAATTTGTTTATAAAAAAAGTCTTAGAAAAGCTCAGAACATTACATAAAAGTGAAAAAAGGAATCAATTGCCTCTGCCATTCTGAAGAGATCTTTTCGTTTTTTCTGTTTATCCTGGTTCCCACAATGAAGACATCTCTTTCTTGATCATGAAGCTTTCATATTATCCAAGCCAACACTAGCCTGCATCAACAGATATCTTGTAAGCCCACGTTTACATTGTGGAGCGAACAAACCGAAGACAAAAGTTAAAAGATGGACTTAATTTATAATGATTCAATCAAGAACCAACTAGTCCATCTTTCTTTTTCACCCTACAGAAAAAAAAAAAACTATTATTCGAATAAAACTTCTCCCCCAAATTCCACATACTGTTATTTTTCTTATGGCTCATAATACTTCACTGGAGATTCACTTGGGCTGACTGCCCCTCGAGATTTCTCACCACGAAGGAGCATACAAATCACTTAAAAACATATTTCACAGCCACTTGCTATTCTTCAAAAGAATGAGGGTTGTCACAGTATCATAAAAGAAAAAAGCTTATTCATAACCTTCTTGACAGTGGAATATACTTTAATAGGTTTTTCCTTGCATCTAAATATCATGAAGGTACTAGCCAAAAAGGGCTTTCGAATGATCCATTCTAATGCTCATTGGCTAAAATGTTTAGGGTTGTGAGCCATTGTATTTTTCTTGTAAACCACATAAATACTGCATTATTACTATACAGGAGGACAGACCTCAAGATTTGCAGTGTTGAAACGCTAGGATAGACTGTAGGTGAGAACTTTGAATTTCTAGTTCCTTTTCATAACAAATTCAGCAATTATCTTTCCGGTGCATGTAGAATCAAACCGATTGAATAAAAATATATTGTCTTTCCTGAGTACTTGTTTGTTTAATTGTTTATTTTATTCAATATATCAAATATAGAATGCATATCTTCTTCAATTGTGCATACGCCATGGTCACCATATTCCCAATCTCCAAAACTGAAGATTGAACAGATGTAGGGTTTGGAAAGGACATGTCATATCTTAACAAAAATCTTACCAGAAATTTGTGATTCTCTTCAAGGAGTGGAGCAAAAGTAGCACAAAATGTCTCCATGTCAGCATTAATATCACCTGAGCCAGCTATAACATCCATAAATTTCTTTCTATCTGGAGCAAGCTTCATAGCAACCTGCATAATTCATGCTCCAACATGTCAAAAAGCAATAAGAGAACTATAAGCAATACAATTGATATTCCTACAATAGAAGTTAGAAATCAAATTGACTAAGCGGTAAAGAAATTACGGTGAAACTTGAACTAGCAAGCCAGCCATGCCATTTTTTAAGAGTCTTGCCATATGAATCAGTGCAACATTGTGTCATCGTCCAATCTGCATGTGCAAGTAAGTTGCGGAACAGCTCCACCAGGAAATCCATTGCCCTGATGAATTAATTAGAATGAATGAACATAATATAACCTATCCTAAGCAAAAAATGCATGGAAAGGAAATGAATGAATCTGAAAAATTAACATATTTAAGACAAAGAACACCACATATTCTCTCAATAATCCTATGTAGTAGAATTCCTAGCAACAGCAAAGATCTATTATTCAAACAAGTAAGCAAAGTTTGATACTAAAAAGGAAACAGTTTAACAAAGAAAAGTGAAAAAAAAAGTTACATCAAGCCTGAGGCACACTAACAGAAAGATACACCAAAATATTCTTTCCCACATATGAAAGAAAGTGAGAGCAGGTTAATAGGCCATAGCCTTTTACTTTTTACAGTCTGGATTGTTTGTATACTTTGACCTGAGCATTATTTCAATCAGATCTTCAAGGTACTTTTCAAAAAACGCGATCATCCTTAGCTATTGTTTCTTCATCAAATTTCTCAACACAAAGCTCTATGATGATTGGTCTATCTTTAAATTTTTAAAAGCACTTGCATGGAAGGTAAAGAATATCAGCTACAACTAGTACAAATGCACTTAGGTGCCACAAAAAGAAAAAAAAAAGTACAGAATATGAAAATTTTTGATGGGTTAATTTATTTACCTTGTCAACCAGAGAAGACCATTCGTACAACTAGATGATGCTTTCGCTGTTTTAGCATCCACCTCTGCTTGTACCATACTGTACAAATGGTTGAATTCTGAGGGATTCGTCAAATATTTGTTTTCCAACCTCTAAAATAGACATCAACAGAAGCAAAATAAGAGAACATTATCATATTTCAGATGCTAACCTTTCTTATTTTCATTAATTAGATAATAGATTTCAAATGTCAATCATAAACAATATGAACAACTTCCCCTGATATTTTGTCCTAAGCAACACACTTACCATGTATTTCCGTAGGATGATGACAATAAAAAAAAGATAGAACTCACAAGGTCAATCTTCACTATCCTTATTGGAAAATGTGAGGGCACTCGGGACAGTGTATAAGGATGAGAAAGAACAGGAAAGAAAATCTCAGTAGGCAAGCAGAAATGTTGAAATTTATGAGGAAAGAAGAAATGTCTTACCGATATATTACCACCAATATCTGTTTTTACAAGGCTCATAGCAGCACCAAATTTATCTGATGTGAAGACAATAAGAAAGTTAATTTTTTTATAAGCCCAGGACAATGTGCTCATACTCCGTACTTGTTTGACTGTGTGATATAGTACAATCTATGATATAAAACAATCCCCTGCTAGCTCGACTACAATGATTCCAAGTAGACTAGAGGTCTATGGTTAAACTCATCAAATTACTCCCTACCATGTCCCACACCCTCGCAAAAGGAAAAATAATGTATAACAAACAAAATAGAAGAATAAACACCAAGATAAGAAACAGGACAATGCTGTGAAGGAGAATTTGGTAATGAACTGTATGATGCCTGTGAATAAACTGCATGCCTAATATGTATCAGGAGGATCCAATCGTGAGTTCCTCAAATCACATGCTTAGCAAATTGTGGAATACACTACCCAAGTAGAGTAGTAGATACTTAACAATTAAACCAGAAAAGGAAGAAGAAATACGTAAACTGAAAAATCTAAAACAACTTAACATCAAAATTTATCAAGCAAAACTGATTATTATAGATTTTTTTTTTTCTTCATTCAAAGGTTAAGAAAAAGCACCTAAAACTGGCAAGATCAACTTGCAGACATCCAAGAAAGGCTTCGTCAGCATTTCTCCTTGTTCAGACTTGACATGCTTCATTCCTTCTAAAGATGGGGTAAACACAGTTCCCTCCATTTTTATGCTTCACTGCTCTGTTAACCAGCCAGAAAACCTCTAGAATTAGTCAACCAAAAAAGCCAAAAAATTAAATAAGATGAGTAAATGAATTCTGATACATGAGCATGTCACTTAAATGTTTTAGATCCAAAGAGCAAGATGGGATCCTTCATTTTCCTCAAACGAAGAACATAAATTTGAACAACCATTAAGTCAATTGGAAATCAAATTTGAAAAAATTAAATAAAAAAAGGACACCCAGTTTAATTTCTCATCATACATAAACTGAAGGAGGACGATCTAATCCAGCTCGATCGAACTGAAATTCACATAATATAACAGTGATGCCATTGATTAGGAAAACCAATCTCATTAGATCTAAGAAGAGTCACAAAAGCCCCAGTTTAAAAAAGAAAAATAAATTTGGGTAAAGAAAGATCCGTACACGAAACCTTTGATTCAATCAAAATGACAAGGAACAAAATTCGCAGAATAATGAATAATCGAAATGAGCCGGGGGAAGGAATTTAAGATTTAGATGAAAGAAAGAAAGAAAAGGAAATAGCGGGTTTTTGATTCGAATGGGAGATAAGAGGGTGATACAAACCTTTGAGAGAGAAATCTGTTGAGGATCCGATTCGATAACTGACAGTAATTATCTGCGAGAGAAGCGAAGGGAAGAAAAATGGATGTTTTAATTTTTAAACAAATTTATTTTCAATTAAATTAATAAAAAGTAACCGGTTGTGTCGGTTACCGTTACTCGGTTTCTCGTCTCATCCCAAATCCCAGACACGTTGTTCCTAATTTGACTTATTTAGGATAGATAAAAATGATAATTACTAAATAACTACACGATGAAAAAGCGCTTTTGTTAGAATTACCGGCGGATATAATTACTAAATTACCCTCGTGTACACACACACACACACACACGCACAAATGTATATAACACTTCCACTTCTATCACCCAGTGGAGATGAAGAGAGGTAAGCAGCTTACCTTGACTGAGTTGGTTTTGTACACACATACTTTAATATATATATATATATATATATGTAACGGAGTTTTATGATTTTTATTACAAAGATGATGTGTTTTAAAGGTACCTTTGATAATTCTAAATACTAATCTTGTACTTGTATTATATTCGATTCGGTTTTTATGTAATTTTCTAGTTCTTTTAATCTTTGTATTTTTAAAATTATTCGTATTATTTTTTTTTTTATTTATTTCTGTTAACACATTTATCACATGTTAATTGGTACATTATTTAATTTTTAAAAATTTACATATTCTTTAATTTTAATTTAAATTATTGTTAATTTAATACATATAGAAAACTTATAATGCTAACATAACTAACTTTAGGACATCTAACATTATATGAGAAGTTTTATGCACGATACTTTTGGAACTTGACTTTAAGTGGTTTGAAATTGTAGTTCTTGTTTTTTCAAACTCTTATTTTTAGCCATTGTCTTTCTTTGAGTTTTTATGTGACACCTTTTTTGAGTACCTACTTTTACATGGCAATTAGCTATGATGAATGAAATACTTGATACTTCCGAAAAGCACAACATGATATGATATGACAAATATATACTACAAATATGAAGAAACATACATTAGTTTTACACCTCTAATGCCTATGCACATGTGATTAATTAGTTTAAGTAGCTTGTGAAGTTTTTGATAGCATATGAAAGATAGCTATAATCATATAATGTGCCCTAACTAATTTTTCTCATGTACTTTTTTTAATCCTTACAAAATTTAAATTTACTTCGATGCTAATGGGCACATATGGTTGTTTTGCTTTATAGGATTAATTAAGTTGGAGAGTTATTCTAAAAGTTAAAAGGATAATTACAGTCGTAGATTCTCTATAACTAAAGCTCAAAAAGTAGTAAAGAAAAGAAAAAAAAAGGAAGGAAAAAGAAATAAAAGAAAGGATTACATGATAGAATTTTTAGGCTAAAATGGGTGGGTTTGGGGTGGGATAAATTGATAGCATTCCTTAAAGGATTTTCTTGGCAGCTGCATGGAGCAAGATCAATCCCACAAATATCAGCCAACCTGATGAGATAGAGCAGCACATCAGAGAGCTCTTCTCCTAGATGCTCCTTATCCGA